CACCCCAGCCTTCTCCCAACCCTTCAAGAATAATTGAGTTCAAGAAGGACTTAACAATGGGACTGATCTGAGTATTTGCATGTTGCAAAGTGGCCCTTAGCACCATTTTATTGTGTTACCATGGTAACAGAAAACAGGAAATCACATATCCTAGGTTCATGGTCAATCTACTTCTGAGCCATGGTCCTAGTTTCTTATTTCTTTACTTCTGAGCCAACCCCCCTCTCCCCCACCCCTTCACTGGGGGATTCTAGGCAGTGGCTATACAACCAAGCTACAACCCTTTAGCTGCTTTATTTTTTTACTTCCAGACAGGGTAACTTGTCCAGTTTGGCTGTGTCAAATGATAGGGACTGTTTGCCCTGCCACGGTCTTCCCACAATGGCCTCAGGCAGGCCTGTCTCCCACCTGATCCTAATATGTCTCTTCTGGGCCTCTAAGCTGGTGTTAGCCTGGTGGCTCTTTGAGAGAGGCTGTGAACTGTCCAGAGAGACACCAGCAAGTACTCTGTGATTCTAGGAAGTATGGTTTGAGTGGAGGCTGCATCCCATAGGTCTTTGATCTTTTATTTGTTTATCAGATAGGGTCTCCCTATTTATTCCAGGCAGGCCCTGAGCTTGGCTGGCCTCCAACTCAAAATCCTCTTGCCTCCTACTTACTGGGATTACACAGATTACTACCAGGCCCTGAGCCTTCCAACGGGGCAAGGAGCTTATTTTTCATAAATCTTTGGAGTGCCTTGTGTGTATATATGTGTGTGTGGTAGGGTGTGTGTGTGTGTGTGTGTGTGTGTGTGTGTGTGTGTGTGTGTGTGAATTAGCCTCTGCTACCACAAGGCTTTCTGGGAGCTGTAGTCCACGCAGCTCGTTATACTCTCTTCAGGCCCTGGCTCAGCGGGAGGATATGGAAGAACGCATCACGACGCTGGAGAAGCGCTACCTGAGTGCTCAGCGCGAGGCCACATCGCTACATGACGCCAACGACAAGCTGGAGAACGAGCTGGCCAGCAAAGAGTCGCTGTACCGACAGGTTGGGAGCCCACCGGGCGAGAGACATGGGAGGGTGCTGTGGCTGAGTAACTGATCCCCTCGGCTCTTCCGCCTGTTTCTCACTTAGAGTGAAGAGAAGAGCCGTCAGCTGGCCGAGTGGCTGGACGACGCCAAGCAGAAGCTCCAACAGACCCTGCAGAAGGCTGAGACCTTGCCGGAGATAGAGGCTCAGCTGGCGCAGCGCGTGGCTGCTCTGAACAAGGTGACAGCCTGGCAGGGGGCGGGGCCAGGGATGCAGGGGCGGGGCCAGGGGTGCAGGGACGGCACCAGGAACTCCAAGGGATCTTGGTGGAGTCAAGTCAGACTTCACGGGTCCTGTCCACTAGGCTGAGGAACGCCATGGGAACTTTGAAGAGCGGCTTCGGCAGCTGGAGGCACAGCTGGAGGAGAAGAACCAGGAGCTGCAGCGGGTGAGGGGGTCTAGAGAGCCAATAGAGCTAGCTGTGAGGGGGCGGGGCTTAGCTTAGGGTACAGCCTGGTAGGACTTACCTGAGGATATATATGGACTAGATGAAAGGCGAGGCTATGTCAGGGGAGGAGTTTGCATGAGTAGTATGACTTGGAAGCGCGTACGTGCCTGTGTGTGTCTTCTAAAGGGGCCAGCCTGGACAAGGCTTAGCTGAAGGGGTGAGCTAGTTGGGGCTCACACGAATAGCCGGACTTGGATGAAGGGCGGAGCTTCTGGGACTTACAAGAAGGTGCTAGGTGGTGGGGTGTATGAGGCTTAGAGGAGGGGTGGGCCTGAGAGAGAGAGAGAGCCTGAGAATAATGACAGGAGCCTAGATGAAGGAGCTGGGGTTGGTAAAGGGGGCTTAGCTGAGTACATGGTTGAGTGGAACATACACGGGAGGCGGTGCTTGGTGAGGGTACCCCTGGAGTAGTAGTAAAACGAGGGGGTGAGGCTTAGATGAGGGGCAAGGCTGGGTGAGACTTACATGAAGGGTGGGGCTTAACGGAGGAGCAAGATGATGGGCGGGGCTGAGATGAAGAAGAGTCAGAGTCAGGTTTGGTTGGGATGAGGGGTGGGTTAGGGGTGGGCTTAGATAGGGGCCAGGCTAGGTGGGAATCAAGATGAGAAGAGGGCGTAAGTGAAGGACATGATTCAGAGCAAGGGCAATGGTATCACAACCTCTGCCCTGTTTCCCTTTGCTCAGGCCCGGCAGAGGGAGAAGATGAACGATGACCATAATAAGCGACTGTCAGAGACCGTAGACAAGCTGCTGAGCGAATCCAATGAACGGTTACAGCTTCACCTCAAGGAACGCATGGGGGCACTGGAGGAGAAGGTGCGCCCCCCTCCCATCCCAGGCCTTTGACAACCAGGGATGTCTCTAGCTGCCATCCTGGGGCCCACACATCTTCCTCAGATCTGTCATCTGAGACCTCCCTACTCATAGTCTGCTCTGTGACTGACTGAAGGCACCATTTTGCTTGAACATTCCAAGAGCAGAATTTTACTAGGCCACAACCCCTCCAGCTTGGCCTCCTCCTTCCATTTCACTCTGGTTCCCACAGAACTCACTGAGTGAGGAGATTGCTAATATGAAGAAACTTCAAGATGAGCTGCTGCTGAGCAAGGTGGGAGCCTGGAACTTGATGGGGGAGCTGTTGAGCGGCCTGCTACTCAGAACAACACAATCTCACCTGATAGCTCTGCCTACTCTCCACAGGAGCAGCTCTTGGCTGAGATGGAACGGATGCAGATGGAGATTGACCAGCTACGGGGGAGGCCCCCCTCCTCCTATTCCAGGTGATGGAAGCCCTCCTATCCTTTCTCTAGGGGGCCCGAATAGTCAAGCTCATCCCTTATTTTTAAGTTTTATAGTATTGGGGACCAAATCTCTGGCCCTCCTGCACACTGCCACCAAGCCACACTTCCCACCCCCTCACTGAAGAATTCCAAGCAGAAGCTCTACCCCTGAACACACCCCCACCCCTCACTGGAGGATTCGAGGCAGAGGCTCTACCCCTGACCATACCCTGTCACCATACCATCCTCTCACTGCAGGATTCTAGGCAGAGGCTCTACCCCTGACCATACCCCCATCCTCTCACTGGGGAATTCTAAGCTCTACCCTATATATCTCCAGATCTTTTTACTTTTCCTTTTAAGACAGGATCTCACTAAGTTGTCCAGGCTGGTTTTAAATCTATGGTCCTTCTGCCATAGCCTCTCAGTAGCTGAGACTGGAAGCTTACACCAGCAGGTCCAGCTTCATCAATTTTGTTTATTTAAGAATGTTTTGGCAAGGCTATGGTGGTGTACACCTTTAGTCCCAGCATTGGGAAGGCAGAGACAGGCAGATCTCTTGAGTTCCAGGACAGGCTGGGCTATTCAGCTGTCTTGAAAAATCAAACAAACAAACAAACCAAAAAAGGATATTTTAAAATTTATCCTTTGATAAGCTCATACATATATCTTGACAATATACACTCCCAACTCTTCCCCAAACTTCTCATAAAGCATCTCATTCCCAACATTCCCAATTTCTTTCTTTTCTTCATTTTTTTTTTCCCCCAAGACAGGGTTTCTCTGTGTAACAGCTCTGGCTGTTCTGGAATTCACTCTGTAGACCAGGCTGGTCTTGAACTCACACAAGAGTTGTACTACCACCACTCCACCCCAATTTCTTTTTAAAATAACCTACTAAATTCAATTGTTGCCACCCCCAGTCCAGGCTGGCCTGTCCCTGTAAGCCCTAACCTCTACCCCATTTCTGGCCCCTGTGTTCACAGGTCTCTCCCTGGCAGTGCCCTGGAGCTCCGTTACTCCCAGGCACCAACCTTACCTTCTGGTGCCCCCCTGGATCCTTATGGAGCTGGCAGTGGCCGGGCAGGCAAGAGGGGCCGCTGGTCAGGGGCCAAAGATGAGTCTTCCAAGGTCAGCGGCCACCTCTGGGGCCCAGAGTGGGAGGGGCTTGTGTGGGCAGGGATGGGGTGGGGAAGCTGGATCGGATTAGCTCAGGGAGGATTCTGGGATGAAAGGCCATAATCTCTCTGACTCACCCACTGTCTTCTCTCCTGGCCCCCCGATACCACCGAGGGTCCACCTGCCTGCACACCTCACCTCCTCCTATGATTTGCATGGTGAGCATGAAGATGGGGGGAAATTAGAGAATCCCAGAGTGGGTGAGGCCAGGTGAAGAGAAGAAGCTGGTTGGGTTTGGGAACTAGGAAGAAGGAAGAGTTGGGCATGTGTGTGGGCATCGCTTAGGGACAGTTAGGTGAGCCACTCAGAGACTCAGGCTGGGGAGAAGCACACTTAAAAAGTGCTCACTATGTAAGCACCCATGCCTGCTCAGTCTTCAGCATGCGTATGATAAGCCTGGTGCAGTGGTGTGCTCTTGTCTCAGCCCTGGGAGAGGTGCAGACAGGAGGGTCTTTGAAGCCTGGGATCAGCCAGCCTAGAGAGCTCCAGGTTCAGTGAGAGACTGGTTCTCAAAACATAAAGTGGGGCTAGGCCTATTGGCAAATGCCTTTAATCCCAGCACTCAGGACTCCTAGGCAGGTGGGTCTGTGTGTTCCAGACCAACAAGGGCAACACAGGGAGACCCTGTAACAACAGAAAAAAATAAGGTGGAGCCAGAGAGATGGCTCAGTGGGTCATGACATTTGTAACTTAGCCTGGTGACCTGAGTTCTATGTCCAGGCCCAACATGGTGGAAGGAGAGAACTGACTCCCAAAAGTTGTCCTCTGACCCCCACATGTGCACCATGGCACATGTACACCCATCCCACCACACACAACAAATGAGTGATATCAAACAGAAAAAAGAGGATCAAAAGAAGAATAGGAACAGTGGATGAGGACATGGAGCTATGGCTTCTACACTAAAAAGGAAGAGAACCTGAAGAGATGGCTCAGTGGTTAAGAACACCTGCTTCTCTACCAGAGGTCTTGAGTTCAGTTCCTAGAATCTACATGGTGGCTCTTCTGGCTCCTGTGGGAACCAGGCATTCACATGGTGCACACACATACATGCAAGCAGCAAAACACTTACATACAATAAAATAAATAAATATTTTTTAAAGGAAAAGAATGTTCCAGGTGGTGGCAGCAGCAGCAGCAGTACATGCCTTTAACCCCAGCACTCAAGACAGACAGTTCTCTATGAGTTAGAGACCAGACTGGTCTATGGAGCAAATTACAGGACAGCCAGGGCTACATAGAGAAACCCTGTCTTGAAATAAACCACACACACACACACACACACACCAGCAGCAAAACATATTATTGGGGCATGCCCACCACAGAACCCTCTGTGGAGGTCAGAGGATGTCTCTTTCCCTCCATCTTTACGTGTGATCTGAGGATTGAACTCAGGTCACCAGGCTTCAGCAACAAGGATTTTACCCATTGAGCCATCTCTTAGGTCCACGAAAGACCTGCCAAGAGAGGGACTAGAGGTATAGCTCAACTGAAGCCGGACAAAGCTGACACCCTGGTTCCACCACTGTTCCGCACAGAAGGAAGGGTCTAGACAGAAAGTGCACCATGGGATGCCAGTAGGGTCAGAAGTGTGGGCAAAGCCAGGGGCCAACCTCAGCTATCACCCACAGGGACAGGATTGGGATCGATCTACCCCTGCCGGGTCCATCCCACCCCCATTCCCTGGAGAGCTAGATGGCTCAGATGAGGAGGAGGCCGAGGGGATGTTCGGGGCTGAGTTGCTGTCCCCCAGTGGGCAAGCTGACGTGCAGACACTGGCCATCATGCTTCAGGAGCAGTTGGAAGCCATCAACAAGGAAATCAAGTGAGCCCCAGGCTAAGTCTGCTATGTCTTGCCCAAGCTGTCCCCACAGGCCCTGAAGCTCCCCAGAGTCAGCCCCACCCCTTTCTCTAAGCCTGACTACTTTCCCATTACCCTTAACAAGTTCTCCCAGACAATATTCCACACCCAGGAACCACCCCCATTATCTGTACCAGTGTCCCTGAGCTAACACTCTAGTGAGTATGAACAAAGTACCAACCGTCAACTCTGCAGGAGAAATCGTCAAGACAACCACTGCCCCTTATAACCATGTCCCTAAGCCTCAACATAAGGAATCTCAACATAAGATCCCAACAACAGCAAACCCACCCACAGATCCTACCTTCACACAGTGACCCAGAGCCTCGGCTTGGGCTGGGAGTGCAGTTTACTTGGTAGAGCATTTACTTAGCATGTGTGGGATGGGAAAGAAGAGGAGGAGGGGAAGGAAAGAAAGAGAAAGGAAGAAGGAAGAAAAGCTAGGAAACAAAGTGAAAGAACAGAAAGATTGATTGAAAGAAAGGGGCTGGGGAGATGGCTCATTGGTCAGCGCATTTGCCATGCACACTTGAAAACCTGTTCAGATCCCCTGGAACCCATAGAAATGTCAAGCAGGGTAGGTGACTCACTTGAAATTACAGCCTCTGAAGACAGAGATGGGCTGCACCAAGGAAGCTGGCTACTAAGACCAGCCACATCAACAAGCTGTGTTTGGCTGGCTCAGTGAATAAGGTAGTAGAGTGACCAGTGATATTTCTGTACTTCAACCTCAGGCCTCTGTATGCATTCACATCCACACACTGTGTTCACACATATGCAGAAACATGCACACACACAGGTGTGCCATGCACATGCACACATGCACACATGTAGGAACGCATGTGCTCTTGTAAAGGGAGAAATGAAAGACTCAACCTTAACCCAACCCTACACCTACCAAGAGTTTCTGGCTAATATCCCAGTTTCCAGGAAGCCCTCCCTGACTCTCCAGAGAGTGCCTGATCTGTTGGTTCTGTTGCCATGCATTCTTCATGAGCTCCCAGGAAATGAGAGCCCCATAATCACATTCTTACTCAGACAGTGTTCATCTGCACCCCTAACTTGATGAACCATTATTACTCCCCACTTTGGTTGACCTTATTTTCATCCTGATTTTAGCATTTTGCTCAAGCAATTCTTGGGATACTTTCTCTTCCTGTAGTAATATTATCTTTAAAATAATAATTTGTCGACAAAAGGTGATGACACACACCTTTAATCCCAGCACCTAGGAGGCAGAGGCAGAGGCAGGTGGATCTTTGTGAGTTCAAGGCCAGCCTAGTCTACAAAGCTACACAGAGAAACCCTGTCTCAAAAAACCAAAAAGAAAAAATTATAATTTGTCGTATTGGGGACTGAATCCAGGGCCTTGTGTGTATGCCAAGTGAGGCCTGTAGTGCTAAGTCATACTGTTAGCTCTCACTGGAGGATTCTAAGCAGAGGCTCTACCACTGAGCCACACCCCAGTCCCTCATTGGGGGATTCTAAGCAGGGGCTCTACCACTGACCTACACTCCTAGGCCCTTTTATGCCTTCACGGTAACTATTTGGCTAACCTCTTCTTCTTTTTTTAAAGATTTAAAAAAAATATTTATTATGTATACAACATTCTGCTTCCATGTATATCTGCACACCAGCAGAGGGCACCAGATCTCATTACAGATGGTTGTGAGCCTCTATGGGGTTGCTGGGAATTGAACTCAGGTACTCTAGAGGAGCAGCCAGTGCTCTTAACCTCTAAGTCATCTCTCCAGCCCCTTGGCCAACCTCTTGTAATTGATAGAAATTACAACTATTCAGCCCAAATCCTTCAGTGATTTCTTGAGACACTCAGGATTTCTTGCCTCCCCTTGAGTCCCTGCAGCTATGGACAAGCTGCCCATCAAAAGAATTTTAAGTTACTTCACTGTCCTGAGTCACACTCCTCTCCCCTCCCCAGACTTTCTGGCCCCCAGGATCTGTGATTCCCCATCCCCTCCACCCTGCACCCAGTCTTCTTTCTCCCTTGCTAGGCTAATCCAAGAAGAGAAGGAGACTACAGAGCAGCGAGCAGAAGAGCTGGAGAGCCGGGTGTCCAGTTCCGGCCTTGATTCACTAGGTCGATACCGCAGCAGCTGCTCACTGCCACCCTCCCTTACCACCTCCACTCTTGCCAGCCCCTCACCTCCCAGCTCTGGCCATTCCACGCCTCGTCTGGCACCACCCAGTCCTGCCCGAGAGGGAACCGAGAAGACCGTGAGTATTCTCTGTCACCCCAGCCCAGAGTAGGTAGGAGAGGTCAGAAACAGAACTTCCCACAAATAGCAACTGAGCCTTTGCACAGTGGATTCCAGAAACATCCTTAGCCTAAAGTCCCAGAGGACAAAAGGAAGGCTGGTCTCTAGAAATATGTGTGTGTGTGTGTGTGTGTGGTGTGTGTGGTATGTGTGTATGTGTGTATACATGTGTGTATATGTGTGTGCATGTGTGTGTATATATGTGTGTGTGTGTGGTATGTGTGCGTGAGTGTGTGTGTGTGTATGTGTGTATATGTGTGGTGTGTGTGTGTGTGTGTGTGTGTGTGGGGGGGGGGGTGTGTGGGGTGTGTGTCTGGGTGTGTATATGTATATGTGTGTGTGAGAGTGTGTATGTGAGTGTGTGTGTGGCCAGTTCTTTACCCACCAAGCCATTTCAGGGATCCTACTTTGACTTTCACATGTTATGGTGCTTTGTGTGTGTGTGTGTGTGGCCAGTTCTTTACTCACCAAGCCATTTCAGGGATCCTACTTTGACTTTCACATGTTATGGTGCTGTAATTTATTGTTTGTTTGTTTGTGTGTTGTTCGAGACAGGGTTTCTCTGTGTAGGTTTGGAGGCTGTCCTGGCACTCACTCTGGAGACCAGGCTGGTCTTGAACTCACAGAGATCCACCTGCCTCTGCCTCCCGAGTGCCAGGATTAAAGGCATGAGCCGTCACCACTACCTGGCTATAATTAGACTGTTTTTAAATGTGTGTGCACTTGATATCTATAGTCTTCAAATGACCTTTGAGAACTTGAGTGTGGTGACCCCACACCTGTCATTCTAGTGCTTGTGTGGCTGAGGCGGGAGGATTGTTGGGAGTTTGAGGACAACTTGGACTCTGGTGAAACCCTATTTCAAAAGGAGTAGGGGGAGGAGAAAGAAGAGAAAGGGAAGAGAAATGGGAGGAGGAGGACAGGGAGAGGCACACTGACTCTGGAGGAAGGTGGGGTCATACTCAGGCTTGTTTATTTCTGTCCATCCTGTTTCCTGTTCTCAGGACCTGAGTCCCCTTAGCTTTCCTTGAGACCACCCCTCTTCCACAGCTGTCATTTATTGCAAAACTATTTCCTGTATAGTCTTCTCCAGTTCCAGGTGACCATGGCCAGTGCCTTTACACCTCCATTTGACCAAGGCTAGCCCACCTTCAAGTCAGTGTCCAAGCAAGGGACAACTTAGATGTCCTCTCAGATCCCACAGTTAATATCCCATCATGACCCCAAGTTAATCCTGCATCTCTCTCTGTCCCCAGAACCATGTCCCCAAGGAGGAAGCTGGTGTTCCACGAGGGGAAGGCCCAGCTATTCCCGGAGACACCCCACCACCCACTCCTCGCTCTGCTCGTCTTGAGAGAATGACCCAGGCTTTGGCACTGCAGGCGGGGTCCCTAGAAGATGGGGCTCCTCCCCGGGGAAGGTCAGCGGGGGCATGGGTTGAGAATGGGGACAGGGCAAAGACTTGGGGAGATGGTGTCCATCCCAGGCTCTGTCCTGTCTCTCTAGTGAGGGCACCCCAGATTCCCTCCACAAAGCCCCGAAGAAGAAGAGCATCAAGTCTTCTATAGGTCGGCTCTTTGGCAAGAAAGAAAAGGGCCGCATGGGACCCCCAGGCCGGGAAAGTGCATCTCTGGGTAAAGTATTTTTGTAATACCAACCTTCATCTCCTCCCTCCATGCCTCCCTGCTAGAAATTCATTTCTGTCTTTATATGGTAGTACTTTTTTTTCCCCTGGGAAATTGAACTGGGAATTGAACCTAGGCCCTCATGAATGCTAGGCAAGTACTCTACCAACAAGCTATATTCCCAACCTCTGCTTTTTTTTTTTTTAATTAAATAATTGTATTAAAGTTGGGCAGTGGTGGCACATGCTTTTAGTCCCAGCACTCAGGAGGGAGAGGCAGGCGGATCTCTGTGAGTTCGAGGCCAGCCTGGTCTACAGAGCAAGTGCCAGGACAGGCTCCAAAGCCACACAGAGAACCCCTGTCTTGAAAAACAAAAACAAAACAAAAAATTGTATTAAAATTCTCTGTGTTCTTGATATATATGGGGGTCAGAGGAAAGCTTTGTGAAGTCAGTTCTCTCCTTCTACTTTCCTTATGTAGCTCTGCCTGTCCTAGATTTCTTTATGTAGGTAGACTAGGCTAGCCTTGCACCTACAGAGCCCCTTCTCCTGCCTCCCAGGAGCTGAGATCAAGCATGTGCAGCTGCATGCCAAGCCCTGTTTTTTAGTTTTGTTATGTGACCCAGGCTGGCTTTGTAGCATAGAATGGCCTTGAGCTGGGCCCTGCTGGCTCTGTCTCTCCAGGGCTTAGCATGTGTGATGTGAGCACCCCACACCCATACTGATGCTTCCTTACCTCCAGCTGGGACACCTTCTGACGAAACACTGGCCACTGACCCTCTGGGGCTATCCAAGCTGACTGGCCCAGGAGATAAGGACAGGAGGAACAAGAGGAAGTGAGTGTTCACAGGGTTTGGGGTGGGTGTGGATGCTGCTGAGACTCTATTCTAGTACCTATGACCCTGAACTTGCTTTCCAGGGAATCTGGGTGCAGCTTTACTGATTTGCTGTCTGGGTGGGAAGGTGGGTGTAGAGGGCCACACCTTCCGGCACTTTCCAAAGATGCTTTGACTGTGTGTGTGCCTGTGCGAGAGATCCATAAGAAGGGTTCACAGCCCCTGCCTGCTGTCTCTGCTAGGCACGAACTTCTGGAAGAAGCCTGTCGCCAGGGCCTGCCTTTTGCTGCCTGGGATGGCCCCACCGTGGTCTCCTGGCTAGAGGTATTTAGACATTGAAATGGCCTTCAGTGTAGAGTTACTAACCCAACCCCCCACTTCAACTTCTTTTTCTTTTTCTTTTTGTAAGACTCAGGGTCTTATTCTGTAGCCCAGGGGAGCCTCAAACTTATGGCAACCCTCCTGTCTCAGCCTCTTGAGTGCTGTGATTACAAGCCTGAGCTACTGTACCAGGCTGTATCCTCAGCCCTCTGACAGCTGCCCTATCCAGGGCTGTTTGGCTCTGCCCTATGCAAGTCCAGATGTGGGATGGGTGGGGGAGGTCAGAACCCGAGGCTCTAAGGGAAACTTCTTCCTCTTCCCCCCACCCCTTCCTCTCCCTCTGAATCTTCGTGTTTCTCCCTGTCTCTGCCGACCTGGGTCTGTCTTTCCATCTGTCCTGTCTCTACTTATCCCTCATCTTCCTGTCTTCTCCCTCTCTTCCCCCACACGTCTCTGTCTTGCTGCTTCTGTTTCCTCGCCTGCGAACTTTCCCCATCTGTCTCTCTCTCTGCTGACTCCTCCACACTCTTGCTTTTCCACGGCCTCAGCTCTGGGTGGGCATGCCTGCCTGGTATGTGGCCGCCTGCCGGGCCAATGTCAAGAGCGGCGCCATCATGGCCAACCTGTCAGACACGGAGATCCAGAGGGAAATTGGCATCAGCAACCCCCTGCACAGGCTCAAGCTACGCCTCGCCATTCAGGAGATGGTGTCGCTCACATCACCCTCAGCACCCGCTTCCTCCCGCACTGTGAGTTGTGCTGCTGGGCCCCATCCCTCATTGTGCTCCAAACCTGGGCCCACTGACTGTATTCCCCATGGGCTCTACCCATATGTCATGGGTGGGTTACATGAGTTCCTTCTTCAGGGAACATCTCTTTCAGGGCTTGTTACTCCTGTCCTCAAGACTCCCCTCCTGGAAATTTCACCACTTCCAAGGGACAGTCCCCAAATCCATAGTTTTCCTCTTTCTTTTCTTTTCAGACAAGATCTCACTATGTAGGTCTGGCTGGCCTAGAACTCATAGAGATCCATGTGCCTTTGCCTCCTGAATCAGCCCCACAATGCCCAGACCCAGTTTTTTCCTAGGAAGTCTCAAACAGGCAGACAATTATTGGTACCTGTGTCAGAAGCAATAGAATAGCACGTTGAAAGCCAGCCTGGGCTACTGAGTAAGTTTAAGTTCAGCCTGGACTATTTAGTGAGGCTTCGTCTCATACTCAAAAGAAAAAAGAGGGCCTGTGAGATGGTAAAGGGGCTTGCCACCAAGTCTAACTAACCACCTGAGGTCAGTTCCTGGAACCCACATGGTAGAAGAAGAAAATCAACTCCTACTCACATCAACTAAATGTTATTTTAAATATTTTTAAAGTAAAAGCAATGCCCAGTGCTAGAACACTTGTCTAGGGAGATGCCCAACACAGGGTCATTTCCTCTGTCACCTCAGTTTTGAAACCCCAAACAGAATGAGTCAGAGTGGGGCACTTAGGACACCATCTATCTGTTTTCTGTCCCCACCTGTATTGTGTCTTCTCCCATTCTGTAACACCTGGTGCCCCCCAGCCCACAGGAAACGTGTGGATGACACATGAGGAGATGGAGTCCCTGACAGCAGCTACGAAACCTGTGAGTGCCTCCTGCTGGTGGGCCTCAGGGTGGCACTATCCCTACTGGGTGTGGGGGCCGGGAGGAGTCAGTCTGTCCATGCATCGTCTGTCCCTTTTGTTCTCCTCTGCCTGTCCCCTTAACCCGCCCTTCTCTCCCCCTCTACCCACTAATGGGTCAGGAGACCAAGGAGATCAGCTGGGAGCAGGTAGGGTGCAGGGCGGGCTGCTCGCATGAACAGCTTGTGCACGCTGCATGGTCTTTCTCTTTTCCTGCGCCCTACCCTTTGCCTGAACATTCTAAGTCCCTGACCAGGACAGGAAGGCTGCAGCTTGGTGTGCAGCTGTGAACTAATTCATAGTGGCTTGGTGGGGGACAAAATGGAAACCCTCAGTGTCCACCTCCAGCTTGGTGCACGGGCCATTCCATGGTTGTGGGTTGCTGGGGGAGCTGGGGACTATGGTATTGCTGGAACCAGAGGGAGCTGCTGGATGGTGATAGGGCTTGTGTTAGGGATGGGGAAGAGGGCTGGACACACCATTTAGTGGCTCAAGTGTTAGCCTTGCTGGTTTTGGTGGCTGTGAGTGGGCCAGGCAAGTGAGCGGTGTCGAGGACATAATACACGGTGACTGGAGAAGAGAGAGGCCACATGCTTGACTTGAGCTTGCCAGGGGTGGAGGCTCCAGGTTGGGCTGTGGTCTGTTTCCTGGCCCTAAAGCTGCAAAAGACTTTGGTCTTATCTCATAGACTTGTCCTAAACTGGGTATTGAGGAGTGATGGTCTCTGGGTGGCAGGAAAGTCACTCTGGAACCCTAACTTTCCAGGTGTAGTCATGTTTGGGCTGAGTGGGTGCATACCTGCAGAGCTGGGAGTCAGTTGGTGGAGCCCTTGCCTATAATAGAGTCCTAACTTCTAGCATCAACGTGGAGTGGGGGTGCACACCTGTAACCCCAGCACGCAGGAGGGTGGAGGTAGGAGGATGTAGAGTTGAAGATCATGCTCAAACTTCATTTCGAATTTGAGGCTAGCCTGTGCCACATTAGACCCTGAGCTGGTCCATTGTTCCCAGAGGCCAGATTGCTCTGTGGTGGGGAGAAAACTAGCTTGGGGTGGGAACCGAACTTTATCCTTTCCCTGTACATATGGGAAAGGACAAGAGGGCCTGACCCCCTCCCTCACCTGCCCATGGCCCCAGATCCTGGCATATGGCGACATGAACCACGAGTGGGTGGGGAACGACTGGTTGCCCAGCCTTGGGTTGCCCCAGTACCGAAGCTATTTCATGGAGTCACTGGTGGATGCTCGGATGTTGGACCATCTGAACAAGAAGGAACTGCGAGGCCAACTCAAGATGGTGGACAGCTTCCACAGGTGGGGACTGCCTGGCCAAGGGAAGAAGTCACACCCCTGGAGAGGCTTTGGCTAATGGGAAGTTCTGTGAAATTCTAGCTTGTTGCTCCTTGAACCAAGAAGGTGGTCCATAGGAGAATGAAGATCTAGTGTGGTCCTGGTGACCTGCTACTGGGGGAGGCCAAATCAGGAGGATTGCAAATTTGAAGTTAGCCTGTACTAGAGAGTTCAAGGCCAGTCCAGGAAGCTTAGGAGACCCTGTTTCAAAATTAAAAAGTAAAAATAGAGAGATCCCGGAGAGAGAGATAGAGAAAGAGAGAGAGAGAGAGAGAGAGAGAGAGAGAACAAGCAAGAGAACTTAAGTAAGTACTAGTGCACTGGGGATGCCCAGTATGGGTAACACACACACACACACACACACACACACACACACACACACACACACCACACGCACGCACGCACGCACACACACACACAGACACACACACACACAGAGACAGAGAGAGACTGATAACGACAGTGGCCATGGGAAGGCTCCTAGGTGACTCAGTTTCCCCCCATTGCTCAGGGTTAGTCTGCACTATGGTATCATGTGCCTAAAACGGCTCAACTATGACCGGAAGGACCTGGAGCGGAGGAGGGAAGAGAGCCAGACGCAAATCAGAGGTGAGGTCCTGTGGGGGCCAAGTAGAGTGGCCGGCTGGAGGGAGGAAAGTCAGATATTCCAACAGCTACTAGAAACAGGGTGGAGTCACCATGGGGAACAGGCCACAGAATGAGTGCAGAGTTATGTGCCAGACTGGCTGGTTCTGGCCACTGGGGAGCGCTATCACACAGGGGGTAGAGCCAGCATGAGGGCTTGGCCAAGAGCGAATGTGAACCTGCTCACTAGGGGGCGCTGTTCCTCCAAATAATTAGTAGAACCAGTAAGGGAGCGTGGCTTGGGAGGGAAATGGGAATCTCAGGCCTAATTAGCCATTTCCCTAGATGAGGGTGGAACCATCATAGAGGTATGTCTGGTAAAGGAAATGAGGGTGGAATTAGGCTAATTTGGCAGGGCTGACCTCTGGGAGATGCATCTCCCTTTCATCTCTAGACGTGATGGTGTGGTCCAACGAACGGGTCATGGGTTGGGTGTCTGGGCTCGGCCTGAAGGAATTCGCTACTAATCTCACCGAGAGTGGGGTGCACGGGGCGCTGCTGGCCCTGGATGAAACCTTCGACTACTCTGACCTGGCTTTGCTTCTACAGATACCTACACAGAACGCACAGGTGAGCCTTGGCTAGTCGGGGAGCATGCTGGGCACTTCCCCTGAACGCTTCAACCTTGGCTCACTATCCTCTCCCCCTCATCCTTCTCCAGGCCCGGCAACTGCTGGAGAAAGAATTCAGCAACCTCATCTCCCTAGGCACAGACAGACGGCTGGATGAGGTAGGCGTGGCAACAGCGCTGAGGTCCTCCCTCCGCCACCACCCCTCCCAGCCCCGCTTACAAATCAGTGGTGAAGGGGTGGTGGGGTTTGATGCTGCCAACCAGCTGTGGTTGGAGGACGAGCTAAAAGGGGCGTGGCTAGTGGAGAGACCCGTAGACTGGGAGTTTATGAACTCCTCCCTCACCTTGGGTTCCTATCCTACAACTAGGACAGTGCCAAGTCCTTCAGCCGCTCCCCATCTTGGAGGAAGATGTTCCGAGAGAAGGACCTCAGGGGTGTAACCCCCGACTCCGCTGAGATGTTACCCCCCAATTTTCGGTCAGCTGCAGCAGGAGCCCTAGGCTCACCGGGGCTCCCACTCCGCAAACTGCAGCCTGAAGGTAGGGGACTCTGAAATGTGACAGTCCAGACTCTATTCATATCTTGGGACAACCTTCCATCTGGTCTACTCTACCAGCTTCCTTGAACAAATACAACGCTCCAGCCACCCAGGCACTCCTGCAATGCATTATTCTCATATTTCCTTCTCAGGGTGGTACATGAGCTTGCCTCGGACCCCTTGAACTCTTTATTTGGGTCCCAGCCTGCCGGGAAGTAGAGAGACCCATGGTCTGTGGGAGGGTTTAGAGCTCATAAGAGCCCTGGGGGATCTGGGCTGGCCACACAGGCCTGTTGCCCAGTTACTCAGGCTTAACAGATAATTGCAAGATCAATAACCTGTCTGGGCCACCAAAGAGTGAGTTCAAAGTAGCCAGGGCTGCTTAGTGAGACTCTCTTTCAAAAAGTAAAAAGGGAGGGACTGGAGAGATTGCAGAGGTCCCAGGTTCAATTACCAGCACCCACATAGTGGGTCACAACTGTCTGTAACTCAAGTTCCAGGGGCTCAGGCTCTGACACCTTTACACTATTGCACATATAAAATAAATTTAGTTTTGTTTTAAGTAAAAAGGGAGTTGAAGGCAGGGCGTTGGTGGCGCACGCCTTTAATCCCTGCGCTCGGGAGACAGAGGCAGGCAGATCTCTGTGAGTTCGAGGCCAGCCTGGTCTCCAGAGTGAGTGCCAGGATAGGCTCCAAAGCTACACGAAGAAACCCTGTCCGGAAAAACAAAAAAAAAAAAAAAAACAAAAAAAAAAAAAAAAAAGAAGCGAGGAAGGGGGGGGGGGGGGCGGGGGGGTGCCTGGGGCCCACTGCCCAGCCAGAACCTCCTAGAATCCCTCGTGAGGAGCTTGCAGTGCAGCTCAGTGGTCAGTGGTAGGGTATTTTACTAACAATCTAGGGGCCCCCTATCTTCAGTCTCTGGTTCTAAGGAGTAGGGAATTCCCTGGGGAAAACTTGAGGGGTTCCAGGTTGAACAGCTGCTGCTCTCTCTGTAGGCCAGACTTCTGGGAGTTCACGAGCAGATGGTGTTTCCGTGCGGACTTATTCCTGCTAGTGTATGCACCTCCAAGTGGCGACTCTGCAGGTGAGTTTTAGGGTTTGGGGTGGTGCAAGGGGAACACAGGATGGCGTGCTAGATGGTGCTCACTCTGTGAACTGTCTGGCTTCAAGGCAAGTGGCCTCACTGTCACTTGGATGAAGACCCTCCCAAAGGCTGGGCCGTTTTCCCTCCTTTGTAGAGTATTGTCTAGACGGAGACCACCATGAGGGAGCTCGCACTGCGGACTGCACCATCTATACACACAGCCGGTGTGCTTGTTCCCGCCTCCCAAATGGACTGGGCCTGGACCAAACCACAGGAAATGGACTAAGGGGGGGCAGCGGAAGAAGAGGACAGGAAGAAATCCCACCCCAATCTTCCGCCTCCCTTTTCTCTACTTTGTAATTTATTGAACCGTTTAGGATGGGAGACAGGCACCCCGCACCTGCGGAAAGAGGGCGGGGCTTCCCTCTTGGGCCGCATGCGGGGAGAGGCTGCCCCTCCCTTTCTCTCGCCCAGTCGCGGGGCCCAAGTCTTCCTTCTTCGTCTGCTAGGAGGGGAGGGGAGACTCGCTGCTACAAGCCTCGCCCCCATGTGCCACTCAGCCCTGCCCCGCTGCGCTTGGTCGCCAGTCCTCGGGGGTCATCTTGAGCGGGGTCCCCTGTCCCCCCTCCCGTGTCTCGTGTCCCACGGGGCCTCCCGGCCCCCGTGCTATGGCGGTGTCTGTGCCCAAGGGTCAGGGACGCTGCACTGCGTTCCCAGTTTTCCTCTGCCTCTGGGGTTTGCATGGGGAAATCCCTCTGTCAACTATGCCGCTGGGTGACGTGGCGTGGGGAGAGGACGGACAGCGGGGAGCCCCCTCACCCCGACTCTCAGGGGGCCTCCCGGCCCCAGGCGTTACTCAGTGATCACGGGTAAAGACCTACTGTTTCAAAAGCTCTGGTGTTGACCAGTCTTTTCTTGAGACAGGGTCTCATTTTGTAGTCCTGGCTGGCTTGGAACTCACGAAGTAGACTAGGCTGGCCTCGAACTCACAGAGATCCGCCTGCCTCTGCCTCTGCCTCTGCGCTGAGATTAAAGGGGTGGGCCGCCACTCCCAGCTTTTGTTCTCAAGATGTTAAGAGCGCAAACCGACCACCTCCAGAATCAAGAAGTCAAAGACCTTCTGTCTGAGGCCCTCTAGAAGAGACTGATGCCTCCTCAGTGTATCCTCTGCCGCCCCCCCCCCCCCAGGACACAGCCCACACTGGACACTGTTTCCAGGAGCACATTTATTCAGGGCTCTTGTCAGATGGGCAGGTCAGGAGAGGTGCATCTGCCACAGCTGTGGCTAGGTCAGGGCTCTGGAGTCTCTAGCATGTCAGCCAGGGCTCTAGGCAAAAGGACACAAAGGTTACTTAGCCAGTGCCCAGAAGCCATTTAGCCACCATGACCCTGCCCATTTCATAGGATGGACCATGGAGTCCCAGGCCAGCTCTTTAACTCACAGTGGGCCAGCCCTTCTCAAACCAGGTCCCTTAACCTGCATCATCCCCGACCCAGCCCCACACACTTACTGATACAGGGAGGATGAGAAATAGTCTATGTAGCTTCCTGCGAGGGAGCAGAGAAAAAGAGGTTTGAGGGGCCTCCAGGACAGGCATGGAGGGGGAACACTCAGGGCAAGTGCAGAAATGTGTTGTTTGCCCCCTAATTCCTGCTTGCTTTGGACCTCTAGTTCCCCAGCCGCCCCACCCCTCTGTTTCTATTTGCTTTGGTCCCACCCACTTACTTCTAGGAGTACTCTTCAAGATTAGCTCAATCTTAGCTTCTACCCATATGACCTTTGCCATGGTCACACCCCCTACCCCACCCTACCATTCAACCACAGCCATCAGCTTTCCTGGTTCACAGCTCAGGTTGGCTCCAACCCCACTAGGGTTCACTTTGCTGGGGTTTGCCCCCTCTATGGTGTCTGCCCCTCCCTCTTTGCAGCTCACCTGGAGTGCAGAGGGTTTCACAGACCAGCGGGCAGAGGTAGCAGAATTGGCAGTGCTGAGGACAGGGAGAGAGCCTGGTCAGGGAGCTGAGCCAGAGCCCCCTAGGGCCTGAGGCATGGAGTGTTGTAAGGCCAGGGTCATGGCTTGGGCGCTCTAGCGGTCCCAGCCATCTGGGAAGGTCTCACCTGACACTGGTCACAGTGTTCCCCCATGTTCTCCTCATCACAGTGACAGATTTCACATTCAGTACATCGCTGGGGACAGGAAGAGCCTGGTTAGAGGAGCCCCTGGCCCAGAATCCCTCAGGAAATGCTCACCTCCATGTCTGAACTCAGAGTCCCCCTCCTTTTCAGGTGGTTTCTCATATATCTCTATCTCAAGATCACCCTGAGTGGCCCACTCACTGAGAGCAGGACCTGTGAGTGATCACAGACCCAGGAAGCTGACCCTCACCCCGAAACCTTAACTTCTTATTGCCTCTGCCGCTGCCTCCCCACCCCAGCTTCTGGTCTCCAGCTTGTTCTGCTAGCATTTGTTTCTGCCGCTCCTCCCACTCCCAGGTTCGGAGGACCCCCACAGCTCCCCAGGGCATGCCTGGCAGATCTGGGCTAGGAACCTACATTGCAGAAAGAACAATAGCCACACAGGGACCCTGGCTGGTAGTTCTCACACTCCTGGGCATCGTGCTGACCTGTGGGACAGAGGGCAACAGTGAATCCAGGAGGCTAACTGCCTTCCCTACCCTCATAGAGCTAGGTCACTTACCTGGGACTTCACGGCTCTCTTCCTCACTGGAACCTTCTCTGGCCACCTCCCTCCCAGCCAGGGGGTTTGGGATGATAGTGAAAGGTAGCAGGTTTTCTTCTAAGATTTCCTCCTCCTCCTCCTCCTCCTCCTCCTGCTGCTGCTGCTGCTTTCTGTGATGGCTCAGTGGAGTCAGAACCTCAGCCCTGTTTTCCCTGCTCTCCTTCTCATCTTTTTCTTCCTCTTCCTCATCTTCCTGGCTCATGGGGAATCCATGGCCATCCTCCTCCTCCTCCTCTTCCTCCTCCTCACTGTGAGCTCCTTTGCTTGTTTCTGTGTCCTCATCTCCCTCTTGAGAACTGTGGTCATCTTCCTTCCTTGGTTCTTTAGAACCAGCCCCTGTAGACTGCAGGGGCCGGTGATTAAAGTCACCTTGGACAGACTCTCTGTGACCCTGGCTGGTCTGTTCATCTTGATCTTGTGGCCTGTGGCTGGGGACCTTGTGGCCAAACTCAGCAGAATTGTCCTCATGTTCCTCCCTGGAGACTCTATGGGGGTGATGGCCAGGGACTTCTGTCATATATTCTTCTGGGAAGTCCTCCTCCTTGTCAGACTTGTGGCCTTGGGGTTGGTGGCTTGCAACATGGTGGCTGAGTTTGACTGTTACCTCCTCTTCTTGAGTGTCACTTCCAAGGCCATGGTGAGTGTATCTGGGAGACTGGTGCCAATGTTCATTGGATACAGTCTCATCTTCCTTTTCCTCATCTTGGTGGCTTTGGTGGCCCTGGCTGGGGACATGACGGTAGTCTCCATCTAAGTCATCCTCATCACTTTCCTTCTCATCGCCTTGGTGTCTGCAGACCTGGTGCCCATGCTCAGTGGAGTCGTTGTCATCTTCATCTTCATCTTCATGGGCTCGATGTCCATGCCTGGAGGCATGATAGTAGTCTTCATCTGACTCATCTTCATCTTCTCCCTTTCTGTGGCCTTGGGCCTGGTGCCCGTGCTCAGTGGAGTTGCCGTCATCATCATCATCATCATCATCATCATCATCATCATCATATTCTCTGTCTTTGTGGCCTTGGTGGCCCTGGGCCTGGTGTCCATATTCACTGGAGTCACCATCATCATCGTCGTCTTCATCTTCATCACCTTCTTGTCTGTGACTGTGGGCATGATGGTCTCCATCTGAGTCTCCATCATCTTCCTCCTCATGGTGCCAATGTTTGTGGGCCTGGTCTCCATACTCAGTGGCATCACCATCATCATCTTCATCTTTGTGGTCTCTGTGGCTGTGGCTGTGGCTGTGGCTGTGGCTGTGGCTGTAGGCATCATGGTGTTCATCTGAACCCCCTTCCTTTGAGTGGCTCTGATGATCATGGGCCTGGTGCTTGTTGTCAGAGTTCTCCTCCATTTCTGCCTCCTCCTCCTCCTCTCCATCATCATCTTCCCCTCTGTGGCCATGGTGATTCTCATTGGAGACAACACTATCCTCATCTTCATCTTCATGGCTATGACTCCTCTGTGTGTGGAAGTGGTTCTCAGGCTCTGCTGAGTCCCCCAAATCTTCACTGGCATGTCCTCTGTGCCCATGGGCCTGTCTAACATGCCCTCTGAAGATCTCTTCGGAGATATTCTCCTCTCCAGCCTCATGGCCAGGGTACCTGTGGTCTTGGAGCTGGTGGCCATATTCTCTGGAGAAATCCTCATCCTCTGCTCTATGGTCTCTGTCCTTTTCACTTTGATAGCCCCCATGGCTGTGGATGTGGTGGCCAAACTCAGCTGACATGTCCTCTGAAGACCCAGGGATGCCTGCATTGTTATTCCAGTTGCCGAGGCCCAGTCCAGCCCCTCTCAGCTCCTGGGTCACCACTGGAGGGACCAGCACGCTGGCCACTGTGGCCCAAAGGAGACAAATATGCAGCCATGGCCCCTGGAAGCCCATGGGGATGTTTAGCAGATGACCTTCTCCCAAGCCTGGCTTCAGCTACCTCCGATGGGTCCTTGCACTGTTTTTGTTCTTTCAGGTTGTCTCTCTTGGGTGGTGGTATCACTCCCACTTTTTGCTTGTCTATCTTCCCCGGGTCTTGGATGCCTCTCTGAGGATGTCCTCTTTAGAGTCGTGACCCTGGTTCCAGGACCTCCCTTCCCACTCCTGGGCCAATGGGGTCTGTCCCCTCCCCTCCTTGTGGCTAAATTTATCCTCAGCCTAAGTTATTCTGGTCACTCCCTGCCTGCCCCTCCCCTCCTGTTCCTCTGGCTCAGGACTGAGTGGTGGAAAGGTCTTCATGGCCAGGAGGGGGGCGCAGGGACTTGTCTTTGGACTTCCCAAAATCTCAAGTTTGGCATCTTGAAGACACAGGCTAGACTTTTAGAGTGTCATGCTGGAGAAGCCTGGGCACTGGGAGATGAAGGGTGTGTATAGGAGCCAAGGGACCCCTACAGTGCAAGAGTTAGGGGTACAATCATGAAGAATGTGCAGCGGGATGAGACATTTGGTGTGAAAGTGGGTGTCATGCAGAGGCTGTGGAAGAGAGCGAGGGAGACCTGTCCCCAATGCCCTATGACCTCCTGTCCCTGGAACTCAGATCTGGGGGCAGGGGACCAGGCCAGAGCTATAAATACAGCAGGGGGGAGGGTGCTGGGGGCTCAGGTTACTAGGCCCCAGCTGTCCCCACATAGGGACTTGGCATGAGACGGGTATACCCTGCCTTCTCTAGGGGCCATCCCACACTTGTCAACATCTCCATGCCTTTGGGGTTTTTTTTTATGAATCAAGCCCCTCCCCATTCTAGTCACTGGTCTGAGGGTCCCTGTTCTTTTTCAGAATTCTAACCGCTCCCCCTCTGCACCCCCAACTCTTCCTGTGTCTTCCCTGATCTCTCCTGGTCGGCCTCTCTCTGATTCTGGGCCTCTGTCCTCTACCCCCTCTCTCTCTGCGTTTCTCTGTCTCTGTCTCTGTGTGTCTCATTCTCTCTGTATCTCTGTTCTCCTCTCTCTCACTCTGGGTCTTTGCTCCCCTTTTCTTTCTCTGGGTCCCTTCCTTAGTTTCTGTCTCTCTCCGGATCTTTCTCCCACAGTCTCTGAACCTCTCTGAGTCTGTTTGTCCCATGGCCCACTCTGTCTTTTTCCTTCCTCTTCTCGCTCTGACTGTAGACTGGGTTTTTGGTCCCCTCTACCCGACCCCATCCCCGGCTAGGCAGCCCGGGCGGTCCCTCCTCCGCTGCGCGGACCGCCCTCTCCCCGCCTTCTGTGACGTGTTCCCCAGGACTCCCCGCCCCGGGCTAGGCTGCGAAGTTGCGGATCCGGTTTGGTCGGGCGGGTTGGCTGCTGGAGGAAATACTCGGAGCCCCAGGGGCTGTGGCCGCAGCATGGTGGGGCCAGAGAAGGAGCAGGTACCGCACAGCGCCGGGCTGGGTGTGAGCGGGTTCCAGAAGTGGCGCCAGCCCCGCCGATCCGGGTCAGATGCAGCGGGAGTTGGGCCCGCAGTTCTCAGACCGAGGGGCTTGGGGCTCGCCCGAGCCCGCGGGACGAGGACACCGAAGTCCCCAAGGTATCCCGGGGGGGCGCGCGAGGCTGTACTCGCATCACGCGTGTCTGACAGCGGTCCCTTCCCTGCCTTCTTGTTCCGGTTCTCAGAGCTGGATCCCTAAGATCTTCAGGAAGAAGGTGTGCACGACGTTCATAGAGGACCTCGGCGATGATTCGGGGTGAGCAGTTCGGGGCTGCTGATCCGGCAG